AAAAAAATTAATTAAAATATAAGTTATATGTTTAAATATTTATTTATTACAAATTTATTATTATTATTATTATTATTATTACTATCATATATATATATATACACACACACAATTAAAATAATCTTGTATCAGAATAAAATTATTTTTGATAAATAAAATTTATTTCAAAAATTTATTTATTATGAACTTTAAATATCTCTTCAGATCTAGTTATATGACCTCCATTGCCACGGTTAGAACTGTCGCAAAGATACCATTGCGACGGTTCACCAACCATCGCAGAAATGTCCGTAATGAGTGAATTTTGCGACGGTTACTGGAACCGTTGCACAAACCGTCGCAAAATTGGAATTGCGACCCTTACAACACCATTTGTTATTATTCTTCTCAAGGATTTTATTTCACAATACTTCACTTTTTAGCATGTTTTGTCCTTACTTACACAGTTTCTAGGAAACTTCCTAGAAGGTCACTCATCCCTGTATTACTTCAAGTCAAGCACATTTAACTGTGGAGTTCTGATGAGATAAGCTATAGAAAAGCAGATACATGTTGTCAGTATAAGTAGTACTAATTAATTCATTTAAGTCATTCTCAACTATACAATCTCATACTTATACTATCTTGGATCCCTCTCATTCCGGTGTGTCCGAACCATTATAAATATATAATAATTATATTACTAATAATAATTATATTATATTTAATTAATATTTATTTATATATATACTTACTTTTATAATTAACAATCTATTTATTTTTATTTAAAATTAATATTATAATATAATTTAAATTATTATCCCCTTGGTGGAAGGAGTCCATCAGGATGTAGCTCAGAACGAGTGAACCAGTATAAAAACTCTATGCATTGTTATTTGATTTAGAAACATAGTTTTTCTTATATTGATTTATCAAACTGAAAAGCTTTGTGTATTACTACTTATTCTCTAAACAATATTTAGACGAAAATATATCTGGATAACTTAAGAAACTATTTTTGAGCAGACAATAAATCTTCAGACAAAAGGTTTTGTTTAAACCAATCTCGCACATTCTTTAATTATTTGAAATATTATTAATTTTTGAAAAAAAGACGCACCTTTGCGAAAACGTTTCTAAAATCCTTCGTTCACACATTCAACTCCCCTTCTGTGTGTTCTTCATTTAACTTCAATTTGTAATTTAAAATAAGATGTAAATAGCCGTTAATAAGGGATTAAATATTTAAGCTATTATTATATATTATGCTAATTTCATCATAGGGTATCAATTTAGGGCGTTGTAGGGTGTCTAATGTAACGCCATTGAAATAGCGAGCTATTTGGTAGATATACTCTCTTTCTATATATATATATATATGTATATATATGTATGTATATATGTGTATGTTGTTTATTTGGATTTGGATTGGATTTGGAGGAGTGGATTTGAAATGTACTTATCTTGTGCATGTTGTTTATTTATGTAATTTTGATTGGTTGTTTGGACATGGAAGTGATTTTGTAGTATGAGATGAGAGATTTATATAGGCATGTGTGTGAGCATGAATTTGGTGAATGATGCATTGTACGCCATTATACTGAATTGGTACTAAGAGGGAAGAAGACTGATCACCTTCCTTCTCATCTTAGTTAAGTGAAGTATTATGGCATGCAACTTATTATTCAAAGCATATGTATCTAAAAGTGATGTTTTTTTGAGTGTTGATATACATGTTGCATTTCATATGGTGGTGGGTTGTGAGTATTGCATGGAAAGGAATAGGATGGATAGGAGATTGAAGGATAGGAACATAAGATAAATCTGGTCTTTCTGAGTGAATTTGAGGTTGTTTTAGAGCTTAGGGAGTTGAAATACTTCAAGGAATAGAATATTTGAGGTGAATAGATGTTAAGGGTGAAATTTGGAAATTTTGGAAAATGGCTATATATAGGGACTTAGGACCGGAGGGTCTCATTTGTCAGACAGAGACAATTTATAGAAAGAGGAAGTAGAGAGAAAGGCTCTGGTCCGGAGGGAAGCTGAGGACACATTTGGGAAGTTTATCAAGCTAGGATCAATCTTCACAACTGGAGTTTCAAGAAATTTGGCCTCTAAAGCCTTAAAAAGGGGATTAAAGTTTGAGTTGAGATCTGAGGGTTTTGTCCAAATCTTGCATTTCTGAAGTTTCTAAGGTAAGGGTAGTACTTATAAGACTTAATCTGGTGTGTATGGGTTTGAAATATCACATTGATTCCATTTTTTAGGCATGATTGAGGCTGGATTGAGTGGAAAGGGTTTTGGTAGGGTTTCCCTATGATTTCCATGTATTAATGGTTAATACTCAATTTTATTGCTTAAAATGTTGTTTTTGGACATTGTTTATGCTTTATAATGGTTCGAACTCATGTAATTTGGATTAGATTCATGATTGGAAGGAATTTTTGAGGTTTTCAGGGGTTTCTGGTAGTAAATACGTCGGACGCAGTTCTTGGCGCTGGGTGTGAATTATTAGGGACCACCATTGCCAAATCACGCCGTGCGCGAGGCTAGTTGCGCCGGGCGCATTTTGAAATATGAATCCCTGGGTGAATCACGTCGGGCATGGGGAGAACCATGTCGGGCGCACTATCATAAGTGGTTCTTGTGTTTTGGTTACTGATATTGCACCGGGCGCAGGATAATTGCGCCGGGCGCTGAGACCTCTGTAGGTCTCTGGTTGAGTTTTGCGCCAGTTGGGATATTAGTGCGCCGGGTGTGAGTATGTTGGTCTTTAAGTTTTCATGAAAGTTGTAGCCTTGGATGTTAGCTTTCCAATGGCGTTAGAATCACCCAAAGTAACTACTTTAAGAAGTGGCTAGACTTAGAGCTTGACCAGCACCTAGGGTGTCTTATTTTGATACTTTCACGATGTTGTACATTCATTATCTTTTTGGATGACTTTATAACCCTACTGATAATGACCCTGTTTTATAAAATAAAGATTTATCATGTGTATTGTACATGTTAAGATATTAATTATTCTTATCATCGCTACGATTTTCTCCTCTTATCATAATAACTTTTTTTTGTTCTACAAGATCTTCATCTTCTCTCTAATGACTTTGTTCTTCTTGTTGTTTCTTGTACACCATTTATACATTGTGCCAACATAAATCTTCCATTCAAAGTTTCGAAGGTTGTTATTTCAATACTAGAGTGAAAATTATTGTATGTGAACTCTATCAATTGTAAAAACTTATCCCAACTTTTTTTCAATCCCATCATGCAAGCTCTTTGTAGGTCTTCTAAAGATTGTACTGTCTTCTCTATTTGTCCATCAATTTGAGGATGATAACTTATCGTCTCTGAGCTTCTTTAATTTGTCCAATAAACTCATTGATCTTCAACATTCCTAGATACATACTACATGACTTCATCTCAACTACCAAATTCATATCTTGAATTTTTCTAGCAACTCCTTCTTTTTCTCCATCATAGAAGAGACATGTAGATAATTACTAATTAAGGCATTTGCTACCATGCTCACTTTTTTAATGGGATAGTGAAACTTAAAGTCATAATCTTTGAGAAATTCCATCAATTTTCTTTGCCTTATATTCAACTCTTTATGATTAAACAAGTATTTTGAACTCTTGTGATTATTGTAAACTTTAAACCTTGCATCATACATATAGTAACTCCAAATCTTCAAAGCAAACACCACGATGATAAACTCCAAGTCATGCAATGGGTAATTGACTTCATGTATTTTCAACTGTCTAAAAAAATAAGTAGCTACCTTGCCTTCTTGCATCAACATACATTTAAGACCATGTCTTGACACATCATAAAAGACACCAAACATCTCCAATAGATTTGGGAGAATTAAAACTAGTGCAATTGTCAATCTCCTCTTCAACTCTTGGAAGCTATGCTTGCATTCCTTCATTCATATGTAAGGTTGTTTTTTCCTTATTAGTTTGACCATTGACAATGCCAAATTTGAAAATTGTTCTATAAAATTTGGGTAGTAAAAATCAATCCTAAGAATTGTGGAGTATTTTTCTATAAAATTCACAAGGATATTGAAAATGCTTGGGGGGTGAAAATGAAGGAATGAACTTTGTACTTTTGTGATTGTTGTTGGTTACTCTTTTGTCAACACAACTTCTACCTTTTAGGGATCCTCAACTATTCCTCCTTAAGAAATAACATGTCTTAAGAAACTTATTTCAACCAAAATTCACATATTGAGAATTTGACACAGAGTTGTCTTTCACTCAAGATTAGCAACATAATCTTTAAGTGTTTTTCATGATCCTCTTCATTTTTCGAGTACAACAAGATATCATTAATAAATACTATCACAAACTTGTCAAAGTATTCATAAAATTCCTATTCTTATAGTCTATGAAGATAACTGATGCATTTGTTACTCTAAACGACATTACAAAAAATTCATAGTGGTCATATCTCATATGAAAAACAATCTTTGACATATCCATTTTTATATAGATCTAATAGTATCCAAATTTTAAGTCGACCATTGAAAACCATTGCATAAAATTAAATAATATATATGAAGAATTTATATCTTATTTCATTTTATAGGAGATGAATGAGGATTAAATATGATAAGGAGACTGATCAAATGTTTTCATTCTCTTTATTTCCATTTGATTTTAAGAAAGATATAATAAAAAAATTTAAACTTCATCCCATTTTTATCGAGTTTTGTCATGTTCAAGATAACCCGTAAATAATTCTTCTCACATTTTATAAAATTTAATTTAATTATATATTTGAAACAAATCATATTAATTTATTGATTACATTTAATTTAAACAATATACAAAAATTAATAAATAAAAAAGATCTTAAAAATAAAAAATAAGAATTATATATATATATATATTTGTCAAATGTGTAATTTTTACACATTGATAAAAATAAATAAATAAAATTCTTAATTTTTTTTATTCACGAGATTTAATTATCATCTCTAGCAAAGATTCCAACGAATTTACATTGGGGCACATGTATCACTCAACCAATCCATTCGAGTTTGACATATCCGAAGAATCGATAAATCACTGAATTTGAGAAACGTTAGCCAGAAACAATAATCATGAACAACATAACCGCAATCTGTTTCAGACCTTCAATTCCTTCCCCAATACTATGTCCCAAAACCAGCTTCAGAAAATTCCCACTAATACTACCTCGTTCCAGTCTTCAAGATTCTCAGCCACCCAACTCCACTCACCAACAACAACTCAACCTCTCCGTTCTTCGCTTCACCTTAGGTCTTAATCAATAATTAATCAACTATATGCAAATTTTAATCATTAATGTGTAGTTATACGGTCAACATTTGCTATGAGGAATCAATTTTAGTTATCCAACTATAATAACTAACTTAGTTATCCGTATAATATTATTATATGTGTTCATTGGTGTTTTGGCTTTGCTTTAGGGATACCTGGGTTGGATGAGTCCTACTTGCCCAGATGGATTGGTTATGGCTTTGGCTCACTTCTGCTGTTGAATCACTTTCTTGGCTCTGATTCAGCCACTGTTACACCGGCTCAGCTTGTAAGAAAAAAATTGAAACTGAATTGCATTTTAGTTTTGTGTATTTTTTTTCATTTTTTGTTTGTTAAGTTTGTTTATTTTTCTGGGGTGTATTTTGTTTGTTGTGTAGAGTACAGAGGTTTTGGGTCTGTCTTTGGCGTCCTTCTCAATTGCGCTGCCTTACCTTGGTAAATTTCTCAAGGTAAGTAACTAAATTCATCCATGTAGAATTAGTTCAATTCAATGTTTTCACCTAGAACAAGGTTTTAAATTGCGGTTGTGGTTCTGATTTTGTTACAATTCCTGACATTATGGGAAATTGTGGATAAATGTGACTACAATTGTGGTTTTGATGAGACAAATTTTTTGATGTTGCAGCCAAAATCATGGCCGTGGACAAAAACCATGTCCCTAAATAAAATGAATAAATTCAGTCAGACTTGTAGATATATATAATTAGCTTCCAGTTTCAAGAGCACTATTTTTTTTTTTAAATGCGTATAACAATTAAACAACTCTACTTTATCTTCTTTTGAAGGTTTTAAATTGTAGTCGTGTTTGCAGTTTTGTTGTAATCCTTGACATTGCAGACAAATGCAGCCAATGCAACTGCAATTGCACTTGTGGGGATATAAAAAACCTTGACATTGCGATTACAATTGCAGTTGGGGGCTGTTTTTTAAACCTTTTTTCGGTTTGCAAATATATATGGAGCTCAAATATGAAGTTTTTCATGTAAGACATTGATTCTCAGTCAAATGTGGGAAATTGTCAGGGTGCTCAACCAGTGGATGAAAAGACTATACCGGATGGTACAGAGCAAATATTTGTCATGTCAACAGATATAGTGAATGGTTTGAAGGAGGACCTGGCTTGGGCATCATATGTTCTGTTGCGTAATACAAATGCCATAGCTATGGTATGTCTCATAGATTATCATTATTCATTTAAAGAAAGAAACAAATGGTAGGTTGATTGCTATTAGGGTTCTTCATTTGTAGGTCACCTATAAGTACCACTTTAAACTCTCATTGAGGCTTGTGAAATGTGACAATCTACCCTCCCCTTAAACTTTTATTGTACATGAAAAACCAAAAACATATGGTAGGTCGTGCAATAATATTGTTGAGTTGACTAGAATTATTTGATAATGGTGAAAATTTGAAATTACTAGTCCAGAAGGTTAAATTGTCAAGTAATCAATCTGTAAATTGCATGTGATTTCTGCTAGAGTATATGAATTACACAGCCTGCTTAGCTGACTGCGGCTGTTGGGACTGGTTAGAATTGCTAGCAGTTAGTTAGTTTACTGTAAGATGTTTACATTGTATAAAACGGTTACAAGTTATCATGTAAAATATAAATAGCAAACTAAGTTCATTCATCAGTATCACAACTCATTTTCTCACTCTTTCTTTCTGCTGTTAAGCTTTTCTTCATCTACCTGATTCTTGAACAATTTGAATCTGTTCAGCTAATTTTTATTCAAGGAGAAATATGCGCAAGGGGATACTGGGACATACCAGATGATACATCAAAGGAAATTCTTCCTGGTTGGTTTAAAAATAAAATTAAAAATGCTGGCCTGTATGATTTGAAGGACACCCTATATTTTCCTCAGGATGCAGGTAGTGCTATATATCTATATCTATATATATATATATATATATATATTTTAGTTTTGGTTAAGTAAGCATGTGGAAGTTGAAGTATGAAAGTAGCTTGTTCTTGTTAAGTTTGCTAGGAGCTAGAAAGGCATCTCCATATTCAGTTGATATTTTTTTTAAATTGCCTAGAACTAGAATAGATGTCCCATTAAAATTTCACACAAAAAATACGAGGAACTGGAAATTTTATGGATAATATGGAGGATGCCATATGGAAATTACTGAAGAAATGGTAAATCTTTTATACTTCTTATAAGAATACATGTGCATTATTTTATTTTGTTATTTCCTAAACATATATGACTCAAAAATCTTTACTATGTGCTTCTGTACAAGGGTCTTTAGCTGACTGAGCTGAGTTTAAGAAAAGCTTCCTCAACTGTACATAAGGCTACAATTAATAATATTAGCAATAAATATTTTAATCCTATTAAAGGAATCCTTTCTGTCATGAATTTCACTTGATGTTGAACATTGTATGGTTTTGTACTTTTGTTCAAAAATCTGAAAGTTTGATGAATGCTTCAGATTCTGAATTTCAGGATCTGGTACCAATAGGGACTCGCTGTCTTCTGATCCAACCAGTGTTACAAGTATCTAATGACAGTGCTACCGGCTTGCAAAAACCTGTGGGATTCATTCTGCTGTCCTCAACTACAAGGTATGCATTTAGCAATAAAGACAGAGCCTGGATTGCAGCCGTGGCAAACAAATTTAGAGGTAATATAATTAGCACGTTTGAAGATTTATATAACAGTTTGCACTTCATTTTTTAATAATCAAGTCTGAATTCCATAGGAGGTCTCTTTCTTCCTATTTAAATGTGTCTGTTGTGCAGCTTTATTGTTGGAATGGCTAGTGGTTTTTTATTTTGATGTTTATGAAACTGAAAGAAGTGGCCAATAGCATACTTACAACCTTCTAGGAGAATGATTCTGTTATTTTTGGTTATAAGAGCAGATTTGAAATATTGAGTATTAGAGTAAAACAACAAATAAATTGAGGCTGCAGCAAGATATATACTATTCTCACATGGAACAGCATATTTATAAAACAAAAATAACTAAATAAAGAGCTGTTAATAGATAGATAACCCCACTAACAGATCACAGCCTAAAAAAATGAAACGGAAGAAGATTTTATCCTATCAGTCAACATGACTTTTATTTTCCTAAAAAATAACATAAAAATCTGATCTTCTGCAGTTTGGAAACAGCTTCCAACAGTCATGTCTTCAACAGATTCCAACGATATGAATATTTCATATGATGTGTTTTTTGATTGTATTATTTATCTGATTTGTAGATTGTAAGATATAAAGAAAGTACTTTGAAAAAGTGAAAATCATTGGTTTGTTTAGTCTTATCTTCCTTAATTGATATGTGCTTGAGAGTTAAGATATTTGCAACCAGAAGAAGTAGCCTTTAACATATTGACAAACCTCTGTGAGAATAATTCTAAGCATTTGAATATTTCATATAACATGATTTATTATTATTTAGTTGATTGAAGATTGTAAGATACAAAGTATATACTATGATAATCATTAGTTTGTTTACAATAAGCTTAAGAGCTGAGTTTAAATTCCATGAGCTGTGCATCTATTTAGCATATAGATATTCGCTCGACCTACCTGGTGTACCTCTTCCATTGCTGATATTATGCTGTTAATAAGCATAGCCTACTGTTTATCAAAGATTACAAGGGACATAACCATAATATAGTTCGGTATCGACAATAAAAAATTATACTGAGAGTTGACATTTATTTGGTTGATACCCTTTAGGCCATTTCATAAGTTTTGACAATTGACAATCTTTACTGTTGGAAGGTTTTGAGCACCTCTCAATCAATTTGTTTTTACCATGGTTATGATCATGTATGGTTACGAGCAAGCTTCACTTGTGTAAAAAATTGAAGCACGTGTCATATACAGTTCCATTATAAACTTTTTATGATACAGGAAGAGGCTAGCCATCTGATTATCTAAGGCAATGAAAGAGAGTATCTGGAGTACAAACAAAATGAAGCACGAAATCTATGTGATACAGGGCAATGGAAGGCATAGGATTTAACAGCTCAAAATGATGGTTCTCTTGGTTAACTTAAGGGCAGAAATTATGAAATTGAAGACGTGTGGAATCTGTGAGGGCGAGGTGGATTTTCAAGCATTAGGAAATACAAGTTGGTTGGTCAGTGGCAGTTTTTGTGCTATGAACATTACCTACGAATTTTGGAGAAGTGGGTGCATTGATTGAATAATATTTGAATCAATGGAGGTATCTCAAATTTTAAAAACTAGCATTCTTCTATGAAACCATATCTAGCTTGGTGCATCACCTTGTCATAACCTGTATCCTTTAAACGGGTTTACAATAATTCTGGGATGTATGCAAGTTGGTCTTCCCCTTGCACTTGTTGATGATTTGAGAGATTCTAGTTAGCCAGGTTCTTACTTTGTCTCAGTTCCATTTTACTCTATACTCTTATCACCATATTAACAAATGAGTACTCATGCATGAGTTCTGAGTTCTATTTGTATATACAAAATAGTCATTCATGAATTTTATTGATTCATTGTTCATATGTGTAATATGATTAAATTGGGTCTACTAGAAAGTAATTTAAGACTTCGTTTCCCGTCCGTCTTTCTTCCAAACCTTTTCTCTCTTCCTTAAGTTGTATATCCACATCATGAAAGAAAAATGCGTTTCAGGACGTAACTCGGGACAACAACATTAACATCTATAATGGCAATATATTTTTTTGGTATAGAATATTTATATATATATATAGAGGGAAGGGATTCACTTACTCTAAGAGTAAGTTTATCTAGACTTAATCCACTTAATAACTTATATTTTATATCAAATTTTCACGATTCAACTGTTTAATTAAAAAAATTTAATGCATAAATTAAGTCTATAAATTTTTTAAAAAAATTTAAAAATTATTTGATACTCTCTTTCATTGATCCAAATCAACAGATAATCATAAAAATATTTTATACGTTAATTTGAATTAATGTAATGAAATATTAAATAATTTTCAAATTTTTTAAAAATTTGTAAATTTAATCTATACATTAAGATATTTTAATTTAATAGTTAAATCGTTAAAATTTAATGTAAAACATAAATTATTAATTAGAGTAAATCTATATAGACTTACTTTTAGAGTAATATATATATATAGATATATATATATATATATATATATATATATATATATATATATATCTTGAAGGCAATAATGTTCAAATCTAATAAAATTATTATGAGTGAGAAAACTCTTTCTTTAAATTTTTAATAGTTTTATACTCAAGATTTGAACTTGAAATTACTAATTAAACTGAAATAATAGTGTGTAAATTGATATAAGTGCATGATGGTTTTAGAAGGACAATTTTGATTAGTGGATAACTAATATTGTATACGCTCAAACATTTTCTTTGGTGCAAGTTTTGTTTATGGGTACCAAAACCTTCTGTGACTAAGATCACATAAACGATGACATATGTTAATTTTGTCAGAACTTATATTTTTTAAGAATGTTTTAATATTTGTTATTTAACCCTCATTAATTTATAACCTTTTAAATAATAGTCCCTAACCTATTTAAATATGCTTTATCTTCTTCATCTCCTTGTCCGTTTCATTTTTATTTTTCCTTTCTTCCCAAGCCTCCATCGGAATCCGAAGCCACCGATTCAAGACCGCCGCCGGATTCTTCCCGGAGCTCCTACTTCACTTGTTGAATTACATTCACGTTGCCCATAGGGTTGAAATTAAAAATTGCGGAGATGGAAGAACTGTTTTCCAACATGCTCCTATGAGAATCCTCCATCACCATGCTCATGTTCCGGTCCCACTCCGCGTGGTTTCTCAGCTGCGTCGTTGCGGCGGCGGCAGCAACAGTAGAGGTGGAGAACGTGCTAGGGTTGAAGTAATTCTCGCGAAAATAGTGCGACGGCGCCGACATGGTGGAGTCGGAGCTGCGGAGGGAGATGTTGAGAGAGGTGAAGTTAGCAGGGATGGTGCTGGTGCCAGAGCCAGAGATGCGCTAGAGAGAAGAGGAAAAATGAAAATGAAATAGGTAGGGAAATGAAGAAGATAAAACATATTTAAATAGGTCGGGGGCTATTATTTAAAAATTTATAAATTAATGAGGGTTAAATAGCAAATATTAAACATTCTTAAAAAATATAAGTTCTGACAAAATTAACACATGTCATCGTTTATGTGATCTTAATCACAGAAAGTTTTGATACCCCTAAATAAAACTCACACCAAAAGAAATGTCATACGCCCATTATCCTGCATGATATACAACACATACATGGATATAGGCCCAAAATCGAAAAAGAATAATGTAAAAGGAAGAAACATGAAAAGAAAATAACCTATACTTATCAGGCTAGGATTCAAATTTATGATCATCTCACTCCTCCCACGTCACATTTTTCCTTCAAATAAAACACCTCAGGGTTATGTTGTAGCAATTTTGTTCCTATGGATAGGGTTGGTGGAACAGAAACCCCGACATTAAAATAAATTAAATGCCACAGAAAAACAGCAGGCCTAGAAGCAAGTTACATCCAAAAATTTGTAACCATAACTAAATTGACCACAGACCATTAAAAGAAAAAGCAGATTGCAGAAATAAGTTATAACATCAGAAAAACTTTGTAATCCCCATCTTGTGCTCACCAACTTTGCCTGCTAGCACAATGTAGATAATGCTGCTACTAACATATATGATTTAGACCACGAAACTCACGCGTTTTCATGCCAAATTCTGTTGCTTATTTAAGAAAGAATCATTGAACAAAAACATAGAAGTGGGATGTTTGTAATAGTATCAGGTCTGACCTTAAATATACATCGTATAGCATTCTTGCAGTTATTTTCTTTTGCTATGAAATAGTAATTTTTTTTAAAGCCAATCTATAAATCTATTGCTACCTTTGTTGGCAATGTTATGTTAACTATATTTCTTTTTTTGCCTATAAACATAGTTCATTTAGTCTCTTAAAGATTAAAATTACCAAAAACTAATTTGTCTTCTTGAGATATGATTTTTGTTGACTAAACATTATTTTAACGTCGTAAAAATCGATCTTAAAATAAATCATCTTATATAAGTATTGATGTAATGATATCCCGTTAATGTTATCTACACAAGAATCCCCTTAAAAAAACATGTATTTTTGTTGTAACAAAATAAATTGCGCTCTAAGTAGTATTTCTCTCACCAATAATTCATTACTATTTTTTGTTTTGGTATACACTTATACAAAAAATAATGCAAACTGATTTTGCCAACTAATTAAAGTTGCTAATGACAAGTCTAACTTGTTTTTCGTTGTCATGTACTGCTCAAGGAGGGGTTAGTGAAATCATCAAATCAAATACAACTGCTGCCTTGGACTTCTGAATTGTGCCATTTAAAACCTCGTTGAAGACATAACAGATGAATACAGAGGTGATTACATAATGCTAAGTTTGTTACTACTTCACATTAACTGACATAGATAACTCAAAACCAGAGAGTAATTCATCATTGGCGTTTCTAGGGGCACCCCCCAGGTCACAGTCATAAGCCTAGAAGAATTCAATCTGACTAAAGACAACTTGAAGTTGGTTAGACTTTATTGCTTCTGAAGGGAAACTAAAAGCAAGATCTTGGCCCAATTTAAATTTGCTTCTAACTTTAGTGTTAAGACTTTTCTAAGATATGAATGGTGAATTGTACAAAACTTTTAAGTTTTTATGGAATAGTTAGATGAGGGAATTTTTGAAAAACTGTGTATTAAGTTAATTTTAATAAGAAATATTAGTAATACATAACTCACTCTTTTGAGTAAACTGTTTTTTGTTTTGACCAAAAAGTATTTTTTGCTAGAGGTGAACAGGCAGCCGGTAAGACCATTATTGGCCATTATGGGCAGGAAATCTCCCTGTTTGAGTAAACTCTTTTTTTCTTTTTTTTTTTTTCAATCAGCAAATGTTAGCAATTAATATGTTATGATAATTGATAGATTTGAATTCACTTTTTCATTATCACTCTGGTCTAATATTTCTCTCCCTAAACCATCAAATCATCTTATAACCCCATTAATCAGAAATTGTAATTTTTTTTTTGAGTTTTACTTCTTATTTAACAAACTATATCTATGATTTTATAATTTCTAATAAATTTTAATCAATAATAAGGAGTGTGTTGGTACTCCAAAATTTTACTCAATTTTAATTTATGAAAGAAGTTTCGTTCGTCTTACTTCCCTAATTAGTTTTATTTTCTTTTCATGTAATTATTTGTTAAACAATTTATCCAAAGCTGTCTCTAATAATATCTTTTCCATTCCAACAAGAAAAGAATCCACTGCCCCATCTACCTCCATTTCTCTGGCATTAAATTAACCATAGCCACAGCTATCATTATTTCATTAGCTGCTTCATTTATTGCAATCAGTATCCTAAAGGGATGCACAATGCATTGAGCACATTTAGTAGCATTGAATCAAAGCTAAATATTGAAAAATGCATTTTAAGCTTTTATCATGTTAATTTTTGTGGTCTGCATTAAGCAGGAACCGAAATTCTTGGACATTTCGAGAATTCAAGCCTCTTCCCCGGAGAAGATCATAGTTTTATGTGACCAATGTAGCATATGCCCCCTTCCCCCCTTTGTTTCTAAGGAAGGACTTTTTGTTTTCTTGGTTTATAGAACTTTATTGGTGGGGATTCTGTGACAGTGATTTGGACATGTTTGGCAGACTTGCCTTGAAGCAGATGCCAAGTGGTCCATGTGTAATCAAATGTGCAAAATCACAATGAGGCAACCATGTGCCCCTGCCACCACTATAGGGAGAACATGTGATGTGAGTAGTCAAATATCAATAATGTCATACTAGACTTTACCTGAAATAAAAGAAGAAAAAAAAGGTCAAAAAATACTAAACTTGAGACATTGAAGGGAAGAAAACAAAAAATAGTTCAAAGTTTTGCTCAATTTGGCACCCCCCATAAGATAAAATATTTTGCTGAATTCAAGTGAACACCTTGTTTTTCACAAACAACTTGTCATGGTTTGTTTATGGGTGAACCTGGGATATCCCATACCCAAGAGTCAATAATTAATTCTTTCAAACACTGAAATTCATTTAAAAGGTTAACCTATTTTAATAGATGTTCTTTCACACGCATAAACTTAAGGATCAAACTAGTGGCTAAATGCTTGAGGGACAAAATACCCCTCATGTTGGTACTTGTCTTTGATGTACTGAGATTCATTTAAAGAGTTAATCTCTTCTAATAAATATTCTTCCGTAAGTATAAACTTATAAATCGAACTCCTAATTACATATTTAAAAGACATGATTATCTATCACTCATGTTAGTATTTGTCATGATTGTGAATGAGTTAGCTTGAACAAACTTGATATTCGATTTTCAAACTGTTACATTCCTGATTTGGTAAGCTTGTTTTTCAAACTCACTTTGTAATTGGCAAATTGTTAGATGCATTGAGAATTGGAAACACCATTTATTCATATGATGGCCATTGGAAATGGAAAACCATTTCCGACATTTGTGACCAAACACTAAGGGTGGGCT